GACTCTGTAAACCGCTTAGAGAGGGCTGAAAGCCCTATGAAGCGGTATATAAGTCGAACTGCTGTTGCTGTTGCTATTGCTATGTTTGAATTACTGCATCTAGCTCTACAAGCTACAAGCAGCTAATGGGAAAAATTAAATATCAGAAACTTTTTAGACCTTCAGCTCAGTAGTCAAGAGAGCCAAATGGCTGGTAGCCATTGGCACGGTGAAGCTTGTTCACAATTGATGGTGTCTTGCAGGGACAGTTCCAAGCAACCAGGCCTGTGTTCAAAGACAACGGATCCAACAAAATAACTGCTTCATGCCTATAATCTTGGCCTTGGGACTCTTACAATACACACCAAAACATCCAAATCCCACCTCTAAAATATTTTTCCTCTTGGGGTTTCTGGAGCCAGTTCAACTGTCTGCTTGCATAAATAAAGCGACATTATTGTTTAGAGAGATAAGGCAGCATGAACTGAAAGGAGGAAACCATGTAAACATAAGCACAGCTGTTTGGGGTAAGAATCTGAATCCACCCAACTCAGTATCTAGTCTCCAACAGAGATCAGGTTTAACTGAAGAAGCCATAACTTCCCCAAATCTCATTCCCTCGGGAGTCATGCTCCTGGATTTTGAATATATATTTTTTGCAAATTAGCCCATTTGAGATACCTCTATTCTAAAACTGTTGCTCTGTGATTTAATGTTTCCCCAGTTGCAGCCCTTAACAAGAGTTTTAGTATAGATATTTCTAATTACAAGACTTTAATTTTTCAGAGAGAAGTATTTCACAGCATATATCCAGTTAAGGTCTCAGAATATAGGTTTTTTTTTTGACCAGGTGACTATTCAGATTGTAAATGAGGAATGGTTAATTAACTTTGGTTCACTGATGTTAACCAGAATTAATCAAACTTTGTTCTATCAAAATACACAACTATCACCATGTTAAGCATAGAGAAAGATTCTGAGTTTCTAGATATGTCTATATAGGAAGGTATTTCAAACAGGCAACCCCTTTGCACTTAGCAAGGATTTCTTGAGGATCTCACATGTTTATGTGGACATCAGAAATTGGTTCAAATGTGATACATGTATAACGTAAAGGGAATACAGTAGAAAGAATTCTCAGTTTTGACTAGAATACCTATTTTCAAGAATCTGTTCAGCTGGGGTAACTTTAATCAAACATTCTTTCTCTGTAATATATGAAAACAGCAAGAACGGTGATTTATTCCTACAAAGCTGTCTCTAAATAAAACTGTTTGAAGTCGAATATGTTTCACACATATTCATTAGATTTATTTGTTTAGATTTGTTATGGCCACCCAACTCAAGTAGACTGTCACTGGAATAAAATGAAACTGACAGCCTAGAATAAAATCAGACGTAACGATAACAATAAAATGGGACGCGGCCCCCACAAGCATATTAAATCTAGGGCTGGGAAGAGAGCCAGGATTTAAAAGGGCCTTCCAGAACCCCGGGAATATAAACATCTGGGAACCTTTCCAAAGGGCAGGAGCTGCAATGGAGTTTAGTTTAGTTTAGTTTAGTTTAGTTTTATTAAACTTGTATGCCGCCCTATTCCCCGAGGGGACTCAGGGTGGCTAACAAACTAAATAGGGAAAAGGGGAAATACAAAAAACACAGAGACAAGACAAATACAAAAAAACAGATTAAAAACTCATCAACAGCCGCAACAATTCGAGGGGGGCTGGGACCTCATCAGCCCCCAGGCCTGCCGGAACAGCCAGG